TCTATAAAAAATGACTGCGTTTATATAATATATATTTTAGATTTTTTCCATTACAACAAGAACTGTCGTCAAATTACAACTTTGTTAAATATACTATTATATTATATTATGTAAGTAAAGGTATTCATGCAATCTGTATAAATGCGTGATACGATTGTACATCGTCAATTTATTGTTATACAGCGAGATAAACGTCAATACATGTAAAAAAAATTAAAATAAAATAAACATCGATAATTAACTTAAGAAATGTGAATAGATTAAAAAAATAATTCAATAGCATGCTTTACCGATGTCATGGCTATTAAACGATTTTACTAATTATTACATAATATATACAAGCATAACCCCAACCTGAATTCATCATATTATATTGTTTATTGTGTATAGTATTTTTTCCTCTCTGGAGGGTGGAGGAGTGGGTATCTAGAGGTTTTTCTTTCTTCCGAATACCTAATAATTAATGTCACTAAACCGACCGCAAAACCATCATCGGTTCCAACAGAAAACATCTTAATAATAATATATGCGTAGGTATATTATGTTCAACCGACAGTGCCGCAGAAATAATAACAATAATGTGTGCGTCGCACATTGTTTTGTATTGTTATAATCGGTAAATTATTATTATTATCTCATTGTTATGTACGAAGAATCATTGTGTTAAAATATCACGACGACGACGAATGACGACGTTTTCTACCTTCTGCGTTTCTGGTCGGCGGCGTTGTCATAAAAAATTATAGCTTTTACACCGTCGCCATCGTCAGTCCAGGAACTCCGTGCCGCGGTTCCTAATGTCAAAAAAATACCATATTGGTAGTGAATAATACTTTGTAGCATACGACGCTGTGATTCATATGATTATTATCATTTCGTGGCGAGTTTGTTTCCGTTTTCGACAAACGTTTAGAGACTATCCGCGGCCTCCTCCGCAGACCGCGGGACGCAACGAGCGTTCATAGTTTATACACGTCATATTTTAAGCGTTATTAGTTATTACAATATTATTATTAATTATTGTTATAAATGACTCGCCGCCGCGGTTGAATAATAATAAATAATATAGGTACACACTACACGCGCGCGCGTGACCTTACCGGGCCCATATACAATCGCGCAAATTGCACGGCGCACGTGGTTATAAATGATGTTGTCGCGCGCGATGGCGGTCGTTTGAAAATCGCTACGATATTGTTGCAATTCGCGTGGACTTCATACATTATCATAACACATATTTCTCCTATCTGTCTGTTGTTATGGTGTAACCAACCACTGAACGACTCGACCGTTTTCAATAAAGCTTATACCAATAGATCCCTCGCGAGACTCGGAGAGTGTTTAATAGCAGATAATGCGAACACTGTTTAATGTTTATGGAATTTTTTTTTTTAACCTCTACATAGATGTTGCTCTACAGAACAGCACACACGTGAATTAGGTTTTCGTTCACAAAAATCACGTACACACATTGTTTCATTCGTTTAAATAGTTGCCGTCGCTGCCCGTTGGTTATAGATAATAAAATAGGACGTAGTTATTATGATTATTATGTGATTGGATATAATAATTTTTTGTCATGAATTGTATTTTTTAATTCAGCCATTAAGGCTAATAACTAAGTCATATCAATTTAAAATTGAGTAATATCTATTGCATGTAAAATTCAAAGTGTATGGTCGAGTTTATAAACAAAAAAAAAAAATAATAATAATAAAAATACTCGACCGATTTTAATGAGAAAAAACAATAAAGAATATTTTAGATGAAGTTAAATGGAAATGATAGATATGTAGTTAGATAACACAAATATTATAGGTAATCTAAATAGTGCATTTGCAAATCTGCAGTTTTTGACCAATCGGTACCAATGCGCACACATATTGTTATTTATTTGGGATCCCGGTCTGGTTGCAAGAGTATTTTATTGAATAAAAGTCACGGGTAACGACTATTACCCGACTATTTATGTATAAAAGGCTAAGTATAGAGCTGAAGCTTATACAATCAAAGAATATTTATACCCTTTAAATTTTTTTTCTTATGTAATTAAATATAAATATCATAGCTAATATTTTGTAAGTATTATAATTGATAAATAATTCTTAAACCAGACCGCTAAAAATCTTCTTCATACTTTGTGTTAATTGTTTTCAAAAAATCATGTATACTTTTTCGTTATTTTTGTTTAGTTATTTTAAGTCTTCTGATCCATCATTATGTTATTGAAAAGAACAAAAATACTATAATTACTGTTCAATTTAATTTACTTGAGTTTCAATTAAATGGACATTGATAAGATGATGGTAGATGCGGAAATTTTGTTAAACCTGATGACATACATACATTGTAAAATTTGTGAAGTAACATTTTATATTTCCACACGATCGGTTTTTAAATTTAAATAAGAAACACCTCATTCAATGTCTCGATTAAATGCTAAATAACATTAATATTATACTAATATTCATAATCGGAATATATGTACTTAAAAATATGCATTACTGTATAAAAAAAAAACTAAAAAATTTGTAATGAATAAATATATTTTTTTATGAAATGTTTGTTTATTACTTATGTAAAAAAAAATTTCAAAATTTTAATAGTTTTTTTAAAAATATTTAATAGTTAATGATAAAAAATCATTCTATTTTATAAATATTATCACATCGTTTTTAAACAATTTTGATCAAATAATTGTTTATAACAAATAAATAATATAAATGCATTAGGTATAATATAATATGAGATTGTATAATATTAAGTATTGTCACTCAGTATAATAGAAAATTTAAATAGTTATCAAAGTATAAATATTTAATGAAAAATTCAAAATTATAGCAACTTATTTGGTCATATAAATTTCCACTTTTCTTTAATTTTTTTTCATTTGTACTGATAATTTTAAAAAGTACTGAGAATTTTTGCCAATTTTGATTTAATTTGTTATCAGAATTTCAGAAACCACTACCTGAAGTTTGAAAATCGAAGCATTCTTACAGTTGACTTTAGTAATTAATACTAATATGTATCAACATTTATAAATATTTAGTAAATATGGTCTAGCTCTAATAAATACTTTATCAAATATTATAACCATTTATATTTTTATAAAAATATTATTATGGACTTTAATTTAATGATTGAAAAACTCTTCATTTGAATTATATATATCAGATTTTCAAAAAAAAATATTCACTAAATAATTTACAATTAAAAAGAGGATCTTTTAAAAAATAGAAGTTTGTATCATCACAGAACATTCCTTAAAGAGTACAAAAAATTCGTTTTCATTAAAATTTAATACACTAGCTGATCCCACCATTGCCCGTGGATTAAATCGTAAATCGAACTGATTTTTAACATAGTTATTTTAGTCGTTTTTACTAAATATAAAATTTAGGTAAAAAGTTATATCCAATCACAATAGTTATTTTATTTTCTGATTGTACAATAACAATATATAAGTAAAAAAAAATGATAGTTTTTTATAAGCTAACTTTATTCACATGTTGAAGAATAAAATATAATATGTTGCCAACTAATAATATGAAAATCGATCGAAAACAGCGCATTTGAAAAAGAGCATCCGATTAATATTATTGTATTATCAATTATAATTTATTACTAATCCTGTGCGGCGTGACATCGCTAGACTGTGACAAATCAAATTATAGCAATGGATTTATCACGCGTTTTTGAAAAAAAATATATCCTTTCATAATAATTATTTTATTTTCTATAACTTATCGTAACCATATTTAAACAAAAAACATTTTCGATTTCTGTCAACCAAAACTAAACAAGTTTGCGTGAGTTTTTTCAGCTTACTCTTACCCCGAGTGATAATTAGAGATATACACCACTATAATGGCGTATATCTACAAAATTCTATAATTTTGTCTGGGCGTTGATGAGCGAGTATATTGGAAATTTTTATTTATACGTTCATATATTATGTTATTATATAATATTTATTACTATAAAATATTTGCAATGTTATTGGCAAAAATTAGTTCATTGTATTACAGATATAAAAATAAATTACTCAAACTTTTGATTTTATGATAGTATATAAATTAATTGTAAAATATTCTCAAAAACAAAGGTTGAATGTTTTTTAAGTTTACATACAATATTAGATTACTCAATCTCACTTATTCATGTACCCATAGAATGTTGGTAAAATTTAAAAATAATGGGTTATTTTTTGTTTTTTTTTTATTAAAAATGCATAAATTATGATTTGTTCGAATAATTGTCTATGTTTTAACTAATTATATTAGCACATAAAAATAATAACTACTTAACTTTTAATAAATAAAATCTGAAGTAAAAAAAAAAAGTTTAGGACCTCGAACTTCTGGTTTAATGAAACACAATAACTACCTAATGCCTTAGACTACAAGATTAAATACATAAGTATTAGGGTGCATGTAAGATATTAAGTAAGCAGAATTGTACAAATATTAAAAAAACAAGTTCCTATATTAAAAATATTATATAGATATACATTATAAAAAATATATGATAATTTATTTTAATTATTATTATGACATATTTATATCTTAGTAGGTAATCAATTTTTAATTATATTGAAATCATTGATTTATTTTATTTTTTTTTTTTGATTTTTCTTAATAATAATAATAATAATAATAATAATAATAAAAAAAAACTTAATTTAACGTGGGCAACAAAACTAAATATAATATTTTTTAAGAGATGTAGATATTGTGATAAATATTTAATCAAATATTTCAGTTTTAAAAACTTAAATATTATAAAAATACTCATTTATACTAATATTAACTTAAATATACATTATTAAAATACTTTGTAAATTAATTAAACATATTGCAAAATTCTGCAAATAAAAATATGGTAATTATAATTATTATAAGAGAATATAAAAGTATGATGATATTTAAAAATGAGAATTCATATAGCAATAAAAAATGTACAGAATGAAAATGTGAATAAAAATGAATAAAATAAACTAAAATTTTAAAGTTTTTCACATGATACGAATGAATTACTTATTTACATAATATATAATTAATTATCACTATTAATCTACTTCAAGTTTTCGAAAACTGCCATTTATCTGATCAAATCCAGCAATCAAACTATGATTCATTTCAGGTTTCGTTTTTCTTGTTATAATGTTTCTATCTGATAATAATCGCATATTGTCCAACGCTAATAATTTTTCTCTATTTGCCAGCAATTCTTTTTTCCATAATCCTAAAAAAACAAAAAAATGGAAATTGAAAATTAAAAATTGTAAATACATATAATGTTATGAACAAATAACAATTTTATAGTTTATTATTATAATAAAATTCAATAATTAATTACTGATCATTTCGGCCATTGGCATTTCACCACCATATTCTTTGGGTAAGACTTTTTTATCGAGTTTCTCATGTAATTCGGAAAGTGAATTGTATATCTGAAATATTAATAATAATTAGACTTTTTTCAAAACACAGTATTTACTATTTAATCATTCAAGGATAAAATAAATTAATACCATTGGCGCAAATAGGGGTAAGGGTTAGAAAGGACTTAGACCACCTTCAAACTCGGATGAACCCTATTTATTAATTAAATTCTCATTTTTTTTTTCAATTTTTTTGAAACTAAACCAAATAAATAGAACTGAAAAAAATTATTTGTTATTTATACTAATTCTCATAATTCATAAATATTTATATCAATACGCAGTGAATACGAATGGTTGCATGTATTTTCCTTAGAAAATGTGGTAAAAGAATAATATGATCTGTAGTAAGTATAATAGTTTACCACAGATATATTTATAAATAAATGTTTACCAGTTGTGAACTTTATCTAATTTGCTTTATATATATATATATATATATATATATCAAATGCATAAATTATACTATCTAAACTGTGTAATCATTATTTTAGTTATAATTGAATGTAAACGTTCTATAATTATGTAAATAATAATTTATATTTATAAAATCCACATTTTTTTAATCAATACTAAGGGTACTAAAGTGTCTATAAACATTTTAGCCTATTTACGCTAACTAAAACCATGTTTTTAAATTATTTATTTAAGTATTATTTTCGTAAAAATTATAATTTATATTGAACATAATATTAAGTCATTATGACGGCGATTTAAAATATTAGACATGCTTTAATCTATCCAATTATATAAAATACTATACAAATGTCTATGTATTATTTGTAAAATTCTAATATAAGACAAGAATTCTTATTTATTTCATACTTTCATTCGTGCACTGAGTTTTGGGCTGATTCTTGATCGGAAATAATCATAAGCAAACTTGATCGGTGTTGGCACGTTCAACAAGTGTATTGCTTTATGTCTCATAGGAATTGATTGCTATACAAAAAATAAAGACAATTAATTGTATCAACGTTATTATTTTTTTATTTAGAAAGGTAAATAAAAAACAATAAATATTTCATAGGCATGTTATTAAAATTTTAATACTATCTAATAAAACCATTAATGAATAACAAACTAGCAATTAATAAATATTAAACATAGACTATAAAGAAATACATCAATTGTTTGGCGTTATGTTATTATTTCATGTTTGAATAAATAATTCAGAGCAGATCAGTTCAGTAAATATTGGACGTATATTCACAAAAATAATAGATAATACAGGTATTCAAAATGAAATAATTATAAAGCTAATAAATTGTAGAGCAATAATAGTTTTATAGTGAAAATTAAAATAAACATGTATTTATATTTTATATACCTAATTTTTCATGTTACAAAAAAATGTAAAATTAAAAGTAAGCCATTAAAAATGTAGGCGCCAAGTATATTTGCATACTATTAAGATGGTAACTATATGAAAAAACAACAAAAAAAGTAGATTAAAAAAAAAAGTGTTTTTGTAACGTTTACCTCTCCCCATTTGATAAGAGTGGCAAATTCATTTGGAGCGAAAAGAGTTATATACGCTGGAGTTATAGTGTCAAAATCTCCGAAGTGGGTGAATCCCACGACCTGATTAACTTCATCATTCAGTAATGTCTCATAGGTAATTATATGTGCAATACCCAAGTCTCTATTACTATATTTTCGAAGATCGAATCCTTCTGTAAAACAAATTAAATATAATGTAAAGATATTAAAATATTTATTTATAATTTATTTAAAAGAGGACGTAGTACTATAACTTTTATAATTCGAATTTAAAAAAGCTATGTATGTGAATTGTGAGTAATAATACATATCCACATTTGATACATTCATCTAGTTCTTGTATTATAACCAAAGACTTTGTATACGTGTCGATATTTTTTAAGTACTTTATTAAATTAATTGTGAAAAATGTTTAAAAAATATAAGATAATTTTTTATTTATAAAAAAAAAAAATATATATATAGTTAACTGATTACAAATAAAATAGTGTAAAGGTAGTAAAGGTATAATGATAATTCAGAAAATCATACAAAACTATTTTCATTTTAAAATGTTATTACACAATAACTAATAAAGTATCAATATAACCAATACCGGACCTTTGAGGCTTATTTTATTACTTTATATTTTTATACATTCTATATTTTATTACTTTTGTTATTTTAACTAGAAATGTTACGATTGTAGGACTTTGCGAGTTTTTCAATCCGAGCTGGCAAATTACAAATAAATATAAATCGATTTCAAGCAGAAATGGTCTATTAGCCTATATCATATTTTTTTTATAGCTATTTAAGTTATTTATTTTGTTTTTAATATATTAGAAGGTTGATAACATTTTTTCTGAAAATATTGCATTTATTATAACATTAATGTTTAATTATTATACTATATTATATCAACTTCTGTATACTACATGAAATTTAAAATATATTTTTTTAAATACCATAAAACAGTAAAAATAGATTTATACTATGAATAGATAATAATAACTTAAATCGAAAATGTCATTTCGTATGATAAAATTCATCATATAATATACGTAAAAGTAATAAATTCCCACGAATAATGTTTTTTAGATTTTATGGTTCCTATATGAACAATTTATGTTTATTCTTGTATTAAATTTTCAAAACTTAAGTACAAAAAAAAAAGTTTTCATGATTTTTTAACTACAAAATAGTTGGTATTTTTTTTTTTTTTTGCAATTTTTAGGAGTTCCGTTAAAATCCCAACTTCAAACGCATATAAAAAAGGTGTGTCTATGTATATGAAATAGTCTTATAGAAATATAAGAATATTATTTGTAGGACAAAAATAATTTCTATCTTAGAGACTTAATGATTCAACAATATATGAATTCAGATTATATTCAGCGACTATAGGTGCATCGAATTTGTAGATTAAATATGAATTATGTATAGATTTAAACGGGTCATAATAACTTAGACATAAAAAAATCGATATTAAAGTCAAATTTAGCTTTAAAATTATTTTACAATAAACATTAATACTTTCTTGCCTATATATAGTGTGTATTAAATAAGTTATTTAATTTTAAGTACCTTCTAGTTCTATCAAATAGTTGATATGTTGATTATATTAGTTTAGTTTGATATAACTGTGTACAGTATACATAATAATTAATAATTTTTCATATTTTATTATTTTATACTTACTAGCAGTACCAATTATAACTCGCCGACCTTCGTTATCTCTAAAAGGTGATACAAACATGTACCCGGAGTCAATAAGTTCGCTAATTGATGGAATCATACAATCTAGACCCATGAAGTACATTGAGAATCTCTGTCGAAGATTTAAATATTTAAGCAACATTTGTTGAGCCATTGGTAAACTAAATTTTTTAGCACGCAAGAATCGTAACAAAAAATTTTCATCTGAAAATCATATATTATTTTAAATAAATAATCAAGAATACTAAAAAATATATTTAAATAAATATTTCAGTATTCTATATAATTAATATGACTCTCTTTAGTATGTAAAATGACCCAATACGGCATTATATTAGAAATGTAGAATACACCATTTTGTTTAAAAATATAACAAACATAAATTACATATTACCCAAAAATGTAATATTAAATATAAGTCATACAAATTAAAAATTACTACCTACCTATATTATAATAATTATTATTATTAAGGCTGAGGACTTCTAGTTTTTTAAGTATTTTTTTAGAAAGGTTACATATCAGTGAGTAATCTTTAAATATGTTTCATAACTGTTAACACTAGGTAGATATATTCGTAATTTTATTTTGCGTATTTTTTCGTCTAGGTACTGCATAATATTTGAATATATTAGAAAAATTAAGAATATGTTTTGCAATTTTTGACATTATAAAGTTATTATCAAATGAATTTAGTTAAATAAAAACAAGTTTGGAAAATTGTCGGTAATAAATTAGTAATTTAACTATTACGAAAATCTTAACTGATATGATGATATGACAAAACCGGTGATAATACTGCGAAACGTATATTATTATTATATTAAACATTTACACGCCGCAATGCAAGCGGCGAGTGGTAACTGGACTGTAGTAAAGAAGTTGTCCGTCATAATTTGTCAAGTGATAATCGTAAAAGAAATTAATGTTTCAAACTTTTGTTTAACTAACTTTTTTTTAAATATATTTTTTTTTATTTCAAACAAATATTAAACATCTTTAACTTTATTTAAGATTATATTTTGAGCGCATATTTCTTGTTTTTTAATTAAATACATGTTCTGAGTAAATGGTTTTTAATTAATATATGGATAACTCTAGCAATAATAATAGTAGTCAATAATTTAAAATTATCAGATTTACGATTAACCTATATACTTAGTCATAAATCATTCTATTTCGAAAACCTAATTTTTTAAATTTTAAATAACCATTAAAAGTTTTTGATTGAATACTGTAATATTTTAAAATATAATTATTTACCATACCGGTAATTACGTTTTGAATATCTGCATTTTTTGATATCCACTGTCGGAACGATGAAATAGCTTGCTTACGAGCGCTTTCATTTTCCCTTAACTGAATCAAAGCTACTTCTTGAATATGTTTTGGTAATGTACACGTTTCAAAGCATGTAAAACATTCGTCTGTGGCCGTATGGTTTTCCTGACAATTACCGTCGACAGTAATGTCAGAAGATTTTGTTGGTGACATTGCTGAAAAAATATTCGAGTAATTACACGTTCATATTTATAAATAAATCTCTTTATTAAATAGTAACTATTTATACTCAATAAAAATTTAAAAGAATCACATATTTATATAAGATATAATAAATTAACCATTGTTTTTTTTTTTTTAGTTTAATGTAACAAAATTAGCACAAGTTACTACATTTATAGGTACTATGATATTTTTTGTCAGTAGATTTATCTATAAATATTACCTAAGTATACTGTTAAAAATACATAATATTATAAAATATACAAAATATATTATATAATTAGTTGAATGCTCATAATAAAACTGTCCATGGTTGAAAATAAGTAATGTCCGTATAACTGTAGGTATTGGATTTGATATTTTTAATTTATTTCAAAAATAATGCACTGGAAAAAAATATTCTACTCCAGTTTTTAGGTTTTTCTATTTATTATGTTTAGTTTTTTCGTTTTTACATTAAAAGAATTTGAAAATTTATTTTTGTTATATTTACTATCGAATCTTTCAATTTCCAATACCAAAAAATATTGAAATAATAAATAAATTAAAAACATAAATAAAATAAATATACCTATATATAATTAATTTTATTTATTCATTTCGAAACAAAAATATTTTTTAAGAAAAAATATTATTTACCAATGATCATTATTGGTATATAACATTAAATAGTTTCATAAAAAATATGTTTTTATACACGTAGTAAAACGCCAAAACAAATTTAAAAAATATATATATTCTGTATTGTGAATATAGTGATAATACGCACCTGTGATTGTCAAACGGTTTACAAAACATAAAAATGCAAATCTATCACTGTGCACAGTGCAGTATTAAAAATACTTTCTCTTGAGATGTTCAGGTAGTAAGTATAGCTATTCCTTACATTTTTCAACAGAATGTATGCTTAAGATGTTTTCGAATGCTTAGAATATAATATAATATTATCCCTACTCAGTGTATTATAAAACATAATTTCCCCTACCTATTTGACGAATTTAATTTGGCTTGTAATGGCATGTTTGAATAATTGTTTTATATAGAGAAAAATATATAACTATGAAACATAGGCATTTGCTTTTAAACGTTTAAATGTTATATAAATACTTTAATGACTGGAAAAAAATATGTATTCTTCTACTTTCTTTTAGTGGCAAACGCTCACTATGCCGATAAGTATTAACGTGAAATTATTATTTCTGTTAAAAAAATCACCCTATTTAATTAAACAATAATAATATATTTCGATGCCATATTATCAACTACCTAGCTCTTTTTTTTATATTTTAGTTCATATATTTTTAGTAGAATTTTTTTAAATATATTTTTAATATAATTATAACATAGATCTTAAACAAATTAATTTATTCTGGAGATTTTTTCAAAAATTAACTTATTGATTCTTATTTGTTACTCTACGAAGTGTATCAAATGTGTTCGTGTATTCTAACATAGGTTATAGTTACATATTTTTTTCCTCAGAAGAAATGTCCTCAAATGTACAACTACTGACTAGAAACAATATAGAAACTGTATAATCGTTTTATATGTATATAATTCCACGCAAATTTACAGTACAAAGTTAATTAGGCCAAAGTTTAATAAATAAATACGAAATTAAAACGTATTATATAATTGGTAATTTTTCAATACCCCTATATGCTGGACAATGGAACAATGGACATCGTTTTTTGTTTTTTTTATATTGGTAATCATATATGTTGGTCATGTACCTATTTTTTCATTAATATAATAAAATCAAACAAATAATAATTTAGAAATTAAAATAATCTTACATAATTTAATTTTCAATCAAACATTTTTTTTTTTTTTTTAATTAGCTGCATTGTTACTGCAGTAATCATCAAATAACTATATATTTATTGTTAAATAAATAATATTGGAGTTTACTATAAATACGATATTATTTAAATTACGTAAATATTAGTGAGTACTAGGTAATAAAAATATTTTAATATTTATATCCAATAAGTTTTTTATTTTATTATTTTAAAGTACAATTTGTCTTAAGTTGTCTGACATTTTATAATATTATATTAAACCAATTAATTCGAAAAAAAAATGTTTAATTAGTATACAAAATTGATCTGTAAAAAGATACAATTCTGTAATTCGTAAATGGCAATAGTGATGAGTGATGACGTAATGCGTAATGCTTCATTCTTAAATTAATCATAAAAATTGATTCTATTTCTCAATCATTTACATATATAAATATAACTAATATTTTGGTTTACCAATAAAAATAAAGACTACAATTAAATTATGACTTAATAAAACTACTCGTAGACTTAAAGTTTGTGTTATTCATACACTTTTCAGACGATTATTTCGAGTATTTTAGAGAAAATACGCGTTTGTAACTTTTTATGTAAATATAAAATAAATACCTGCATAAAATTAAATAAATAATCCAAAAATACTTTCCTTATCTCGTTAAGAATCTAAAATTTAACTTGAGTTTTTAAATTATATAATTTTAGTAGTTATACATAGGTAGTTACCATACTATGTACTTATTCTTTTTTTATTTAAGAGATGATTGTTAATTATATATACATATACATGCAATTTGAATAAATAATTAATTTCTTATATTTAAACATAGTTATTAGGTATACGATAAAGGTAAATACAACGTATACACGCCCAAACACACTAATCATATACCTACTCAACTCATATAATAAGTACTAAGTTAATATTAATTAATATTAGGATCATCATAAATAATAAATTCTAACTAAAAAAAAAAAAAGAGAATTAGACTTGACAGGAAAATTTATACAGTGACATCACTTTATTAAAGTGAAAATATACATTTTATAGCTGAATATGATTATTTCAACTATTTATGTAGGTACTTGTGCCTATAATTATATAAAGTACCTTTATGCATTATAAAATATAATATACTCATACATATTATAATATCATTGGTTTTTTTTTTTTAAATATTCAAGTATTATACTAAGATTTACGGTGGAAACTGGAAATTATATACAATGGTGTTTTACGTCTTTTTTCTCTATATAATAAAAATTCGGGAAATTAAAATAATCTAATGTTTTGTGTCGTATTTCTTTAGAATAAAAAAAAAAACCTGATGGTAAAAATAATCGTAAAAATGTTCTAAAATTCATTTTTTGATATTCTTATTTTTAGTTTTAATATAAGTACCTATTATATAAATAGTAACCATATATTGAATCCTTTTTCAAGTGATATAAACGAGTTATATATTAGTTATATATTGGTAGTTATTTGTATCTTATTTTGTTTTTTACTTTTTTAAATATATAATTATTTACTTATATTGTAGAGAATCTTATACACTATCTATATTTGTGTAAAATACCACAAAGTTATTCTTCAATACAATAATGGACAGTCTATTTAGATGAAAATACGATAAAATTTAGTAGTAATACTTTTAATAATTATAAAATATTATACATTCAAATTCTACCTACATCTATACAATTATGAATTATTACTATGACAAAATTTCACTATAATTTGATTAAAAGAGGTGTTCAATTGATGTAAATTACCATTCCCTTCACTGATCAGAATTTTTTTGCACAAATATTTAATGTTTTAGAAAAATGTAATCATAGCCCCTATCTAAGGAAAATTTATCTTTCCCGACAAAAAGGTAGAACAGAATTACAAAAATCTAGTCAGGAATTTACAGAAATTAATTACTAATTATTCAAAAAATTAAAAAAAAAATTTTGGGGGGAGAGAGGCGTATATATTTAATTGATAAAAAAAAAATAAATATTTTATCTTTATACCGCTATTATGCGATTTATTCTGATATGATAAATATATACGAATTCCCACTATATATATATATCATAATATAAAATAAAAAATATAAAAAAGAAATGAATGGATAATGAATAAGCACCTACATTAACTTCGTTGTACATTTTTAAATTTTTGTGTAGTATAATCTATCAGGTATATTAATTAATATTCCTAAGCTTTGCGTGAGCATCAAATAAAAAACTTGTTTTTATTTTAAACCTTGAGTAACTTTGTAGTAAAGAACTATGAACTGACAGCTATTTAAAGATCTTATAATTTATAAAGCACGCAAATACTTTCCGTTTGGACTGAATCAATAAAGTGAAAGGACAATAGTAATAAAGATACAAACTAATGCTATAAAATGTTAAAGAGTGTATAATAACTTTTATGTATATTAGCTTTGAATTGATACATTTTAGATCATATTACAATAAAATATTAATACTAGTATTTGTTTTGGCATCTATTTAAACTGCAGGTGAATACCCCACAATAGTAGTCAGCAATTATATTTTTTAATAATAGCCGGATACAACATTCGTTAAATACATGAAATTAAAACTAATGTAACTTAGTAATTTTACGCTACTAAACTCCTTAATTTCATTACCTACTATTTACTCCATTGTTGACAAAATAATTATTTTATTTATTTTTCAATTTAAATTATGAAATTGTTTATACGACTATCTACTATAGTATATAATTTTTAGTAACTAAATCTACAAAACAAAAAGTTCCTAAAAATCGAGATGACAAAATCATATTGACTATAATAGAATGTTCGCGTTGGAAAATGAATAATAAAAATTGATAGCCTAAAAAGCTTTCAAAAATATGTCTATGCATTAAAATAATTGTTCAATAATTATTATTCTTTAAAGTATTTAATCTAAAATTATATATCAATAACTTATAATAATTAAAATCAATTACCATTAATATTAATATTAAAAATTAAAACAATATTTAGAAACTATTTATTTAAATAGGTATCTATTATCTAAACATGCTTAGTTAATATACTAACATTGAAATTAATATACATCGTAAATATTAAATTGCTATATAATATAATACATAGGTACCTAAATATATGCTATTAACAGTTATACTTAAAAAAAAAATTAAAAAATATTCAAAATAAGAATTA